ATAAAAAATATATTTTAATATTTTAAATAATATAACTCTTGGGCATGTCATTGTCTTAAATCTCCCTTCTGCACCGTTCACTTACACTCTTGGTAAACTCCTAACTAACAGCCGTCGACCAACCCCAGGCACATATCTCCGCCGTCGCCGCAGCCAAGATGCAGAACGAAGAGGGACAAAACATGGATCTCTACATCCCCAGGAAATGGTACGCTGCTCGATTCTTTTATAATTGAATCGTTCTTATCATTTCTTTCCGTTTTCTTAACTAGGCAGGAAAACTTATCATTGATCTGCTTTTTGTTTCAGTACCGCCACATATAGACTCATCACCTCGAAGGATCACGCTACTGTCCAGATTAACATTGGACATCTAGATGAGTATGGCATTTACAATGGTCACTTCACCACTTTTGCTCTCTGTGGAAAAGTCAGAGCTCAGGTTCGTTTGAATCTCTATGTCTTTTCTTTTTTCTATTCTTGTAGTTGCAGCTAGGTCTAGTTTTGGCATGTTATGTGCTGAGATCCCTTGTGGTTTAATTAATGCCCTTTGGGAGCTTGATTTTGTTCTTAGTTTTCGATACTGAATATTTCATACATTAGAATGTTAGTAGCCTTTAATCTGTATGATTTAAGATGTATTAAGATATGAATTCATCACCTGCTGGATGCATTTATATGTTTGGGCTTCTGAGTTCTGTTCTGGTTGGGGATGGGGATGGGGATGGATGTTGTATTTTTCGTTAACATTCCTTGGTATTGCTTTATGAAGGTTGTATCATGAGGTTTTGGAATTAACATAGTGAAATATTTGGTCGTCCTTGACAATTCACACTAAAAATTTTTTTTTACCAGTCACCGACCCAACCATGTCGTAAACCAAAAGCCACAAACAAGACTGATCTTTCCCTTCCCTACCATCCATAAAACTTCAAGTTACTTGACGAGTGATCTTACTATTCATCATCTAAATCTCTCCTCCCAAGCTTTCCTACTCATATTGGTTAGTTCTCAAAATTTCTCCGCTAGTTCAATCGATCCTGGTTTCTCCGATTTTGAATCCAACGCTTACATTAATCCCTTTGCTTCTACTTTGAATCAATTCTTTCAGTAAGTGTTTACACCTAAAATAAACCAATGAGAGAAGGCCACGTGTCAAGGTGAAATCCAATTATCAAAAAAAGTCAGTAGGCTGGACTTGGGCTGGGCTGGATTATAATTTAAGGGTCTAAACGGATTTTTAAAGAAGCTGGATTTTAGGTGGCAGAAGATAAGATAACTTCTGGTATTTGAGTTTGATTTAAGTTAGGAAGTTGAGAGTTTTTAGGAGGAGGTTATCTTTAAGATTTTATTGGAGATAAGGTTAAATAAAAATTATCGGATAACTGTCAAACAACTGCCAGACATGCAATCTCACTACCAGATCATGGAGGAACAGTACCAAAAATCATGGAGAAAGTTCCCAGCACTGAAGAAAATAAATACAGAGAGAAGAGAACAGTTTCAAAGGCCTGCTCAACACACATACACTGCCCACATCATGTTTTTCAGCTTTCAGACTGCATTTTCCAGATTTTCCAGATTAGTTCATAGCCTTAGCCTAGGTTTGCTCATCTTTGTTCATATTTTCTTCCGCAAATTCCAATTTAGATTAATTTTTTAGTATTTGGAAGCAACTTAGCCTTCAAAACAGGTTCGCCCTTTTGATTCAGTTAGTTCTTCTTCCCTTTATGGATTTAGTTATGTTATTTGTTCATGTAAATAGGTTGAACGTCTTCTACCTTTGTTCTTTTGTCTCTGCACAATATCCAAACATTCAGTTCACTTAATTTTAGTTTCCAGTTCTAGACTTCAATTAATTTGTAGTTATTTCTTGTAGTTTTAACAATCAAGTTGTTTAGTTATTGTTATTTTAATTCTATTAGTAATTAGTTTAATCATTATTGGCTGCGTAGTTGAAATCATTATCTGTTATTTTACTTTTTCTGTTGTCTGTGAATTTAATCTTTATGGCTTGTTATTCCCTGTTATTTACTCCATGTTAGTTTAATTGCCTTAGGATATTGCATTTATTTTAGGATTTGTAGCTTTTATTACACTTGTTTGGTTGTGAAGTCCTTGGAGGTTTCCAAGGCAATTAGTAACCCATTTTGCAGAACTCTACCATCTGTTTTGCAACATCGTTTGGGGCGCAATTCATTTCACAGACGTTCTTTCTAGTCATCCTATTGGAGGTCAACCGTTGGAAAGGAGAAGGGTCGTCTGAAAAATCCAATTTTCTTGTTTTTAAACAAAGCAAGTGGCACGCCTAATAACCAAACTCATGTGGTAGAGGTCGGCTGAGGATTTTTGGGGAAACAATCCTTTGTTGGCACGCCCAGTGGGACAACTAGCAAAGTGTATCAGTTAAAGTTCATAGATCCTCTATTTATACATCTAGAGGCGTTTGGAGCCATGCCACCAAGAAAGAGCAGAGACAAAGAGGTTTAGCTAGCCCAAGCTGAGCATGTAGACGACAGTCCACTCCACTCCACTCTGAGGGTGAAAATGATCCCATCACTTTTCTCCCAGTGTTACCTCTGGCAGAACGATCTTATGGGAATCCAGTATTTAAGGAGAAAGAAGCAGACCGTGAGGGTGACTTTACTGAATCAAGTAATGTGTTTAGAGGTATGACTGAATGTCTGGATTTAACATTCAAAGAACAAAACCACGCTATGCGGAGACTTGTTGAGAGTCAAGCAGAATCCTCCAAACATCAAGAAGAGATAATTAGACAATGTATGGAAGACCTGAGACGGGTCTTTGAAGAAGGCACTAGGGTGATGCGAGAAACTGGGGAAGAAAGTCGCAAAACACTGCAGGCTATTTCAGAACAAATGGTTGAGCAAGTGCGATAGCCCAAACCTGAGATCCCTCCTCCAGTCGTTGAAATGCCCATACAGATTCAGGAAGCCCCAATCCCAGCACTCGGGGGGCAAGGGAATCAGCCTCATCCTAACATTCAACAGTAGAATTTCTTCATGGGTGAAGGACAAAGACAGCATGAACCAATGGAGGCTACTACTCTTATGGAAAACCATGGCCATCAACCTCAGCATAGGTATATTTCGCCAGGTAGAAGGGGTAATGTGGGTCTTCATCATCAACCCTACCTAAGGGACTTTTTCCAGCCACAAGTTCCTCCAGCCCAGTCGGTACAGCACGGTTTGCAGAATCAACCAGCTCAATTATGCAATAGAGATCAGCTAATAGATCTGGTACAGGAAACCTATGGACCAGCCTTGAGACCATTGGTATGTCCAGCCTACATGAAGCCTTATCCAAACATCATTGATCATGAAAATCCTTTTCCAAGGGGTTTTAAAGTGCTTGAGTTCACTTTATTTTCTGGTGAGGTTGGTCAGTCCACTATTGAACATATTGGATGCTTCACAATATAGTGTGGAGAGGCATTTGGAGATGATAACTTGAAACTCAGACTATTCCCTAGCTTTTTAACTGGGACAGCCCTTACTTGGTACCTCAGTCTACCTCAAAATTCAATCTTCTCTTGGAGGCAAATGGAGGATTTGTTTCATACTTAATTTTATCGTTGTGAACCGAAAGTGTCTATGGCAGACTTGTCGAGGTTAGCCCAAAAGCCTGGAGAGTCGTTTGAGGCATTCCTTGCTAGGTTCCGGAGAGCCAGACTGAAATGTCGAGTTGCACTACCAGAACAGGAATTTTTCAAGCTAGCTCAAAATGGTCTGGACATTAAGCTCCGAAAGAAATTTGAGGGGATGGAATTCCGAGACTTCTATGAATTGTCTTATAAAGTGGCTCAGTATGAAAATCTGCTGAAAGAAGATGTTCAAAAGAAAGCTGCATCACATGGAACCCATTACAGTGACCCTAATTTTGATCTTGATGTGGCTGAGGTGGTTACAGACAAGCCTGTTGTTTGTCCAAACCTTGTCAGACCAACTCACCAGCCTGAGACGTCTTTGAGAGGTTATGTTGGTGAGGTTGGAAAACAATATACTTTTGATATGTCAAAAACTAGTGATATATTCAACCACCTAAAAAAGAGTGGTTTGATTAAGTTGCTGCCAGGACATAAAATCTCAACAGCAACTGAAATCGGAGCTAGAGATTATTGCAAATTTCATAATTCTTGGAAGCATTCTACTGATAATTGTCTTATTTTTCATAATGTCTTGCAAGAAAAGATTGATAAGGGTATCTTGAAATTTCCAGACAAAGCGAAGGAAACCATGGGAGTAGATGCAGATCCTTTTCCAGTTGTATCTGTTGGCGTGAATGTTGTATACCTGAGGAGTGTTGCCAGAAATTGTAGTCTGCCTTATGCTCAAAGGAACCTTGCTGCTGAATACCTGAGGTGGGTCATTGAGGTGCAAAGATCCAAACATAGCAGGAACATCAGGTCAAACCAGCAAAGGCTTGGGGGGCAAGGAAAGAGCATTGTAACCAAGAACTTTAGCCTAGAAGGTGCCAGACGCCACTCAACTGGTACTAAATCTTCGAGAATGGTCAAACCACCACTTAGGTCACCGTCCAGATGATGGGAAAAAGTCAGTTATCCAAAGTTTCCAGCCCAGAATCCCAGAACCTTGAGGCGCAGATTGCAACGCAAGAGGGTTAAAGAGCGAAAAAGGCAACAGAAGCAGGTGGAGGCTTGGGGAAGTTCATCTCGCAGACCACGCCAACCTACCAAAAGGAACGTGGTGTGGGTGAGAAAAGAGAAAAATAATACTGTAATCCAGACTCTACTGAAGGGGGATGACCAATCTCCAGCCTCTCCAAAGGTGGCATCTGCCATTGTGAGTCAAGATGAAGTTTTGAAAGCAACTTTTGAAGCACAAGAACAGTCTGGGAATCGTGGAGCTGAATCAAAAGAAGATGGCACTATTCGTTTTGGGGAATTCTCAGTGAATTTGTCATGTCTGGTGTTGACATTACCCTTGGTTTTCCAAGCCAAGAAGGAGGAGGAACCAATCGTCTGTGAGTTCCCAGAATAGACAGACGAAGAGACAATCATTGTTCCAGTTCAGGATGATGAAGAGGAGGACATGATTGACAAAATAGTGTTTGAAAAACCAAAATAAAAGATGGTCAGACACATTAGGCCACTTTATATCAATGCTCACATGGATGGGACTCCAATCAACCGTGTTTTGGTGGATAATGGAGTTGCAGTCAATGTCCTTCCAACTTGCATGCTCTACAACATAGGCAAGTCTCTTGATGATTTAGTGCATACTGAGGTTACAATTAGTGATTTTACAGAAGGGGTGAATTGTTCAAGGGGTGTGCTGCCTGTTGAATTAACAATGGGAAATAAGACATTGATGTCTGCGTTTTTCGTGGTGAATACTATTGCTACTTATAACGCACTTTTGGGGCGTGACTGGATTCATTCAAGTTGGTGTGTCCCTTCTACATTTCACCAGAAACTGATTTTTCGAAATTGTGGCAAAGCTGAGGTGGTGTCTGCAGATGATAAGCCTTTTTCAGCCAATACCCACCTAGTGGAGGCTAGATATTATGAAGACATTGGTGCCATTTGGTTTTTTGGGATGGATAGACATGAGAAACCGATTGGGATAACAGCATGCAGTAGACCGTCATTGTCTAAACGTGTTGTGGAGGAAGTCTGTGATGAACTTCTTCGGTCAACAACAATAATTCCTTATAGGCCAAAAGGGAAATTAAAAATTGAAGAAATCTAAAGAAGCAAGCACGTTTGAGACAAGAAAGAGAAAAGGCCGTGTTGGAGATAACAAAGAAATTAGCGGCCTATTTTGCTGAAAAAGCAGTTCAAGTAGACAGGTCTGAAATTGTTCATGAAGGCGAGGAGGCAGACCAAGGTGATGAAATAACTTTGGAGGGGTTGGATCTTGCCCTAGCCAAGTTGGATGATTTAAAAGCTGAAGTTCAAGACCCACTAGAGGAGATCAATTTAGGGTCTGAAAGTAAGCCAAAGGTAACATTTATCAGCGATTCTCTTGAGCCGTAGACACGAGATCAAATTGTCAGACTTTTGCATGAATTTAAAGATTGTTTTTCTTGGGATTACTCAGAAATGCTAGGTCTGGATCAGAAATTGGTGGAACATAAACTGCCAATTGCAGAAGGATTTAGACCGTATAAACAGCCGTCCAGACGCATGTTTGCAGAGGTCATCTTGAAGGTGAAAGAAGAAATTGAGCGGCTGGTAAAAGCTGGATTCATTCGGACATCCAGGTATGCAGAATGGTTGTCAAATGTAGTGCCTGTGCTGAAAAAGAATAGAAAACTAAGAGTCTGTGTTGAGTTCCGAAACTTGAATTTAGCTACACCAAAGGATGAGTATCCTATGCCAATTGTAGACTTGTTGGTTAATGGAGTAGCCCATCATAAAATCTTATCCTTCATGGACGGCCATAGTGGGTACAACCAAATTTTTATTGTAGACGCAAACGTTCCAAAGACAACCTTTCGATGCCCAAGTGCTATTGGAACTTTTGAATGGGTTGTGATGCCATTTGGTTTGAAGAATGCTAGAGCTACCTATCAAAAAGCCATGAATGCAATTTTTCATGATATGATTGGTAAATTCATGGAAATCTATATTGATGATGTTGTGGTGAAATCAAATGGGGAAGCAGACCACCTGGTTCATTTGAGGAAGTCTTTTGAACGGATGAGGCAACATGGCTTGAAAATGAACCCACTAAAGTGTGCCTTTGGAGTGTCTGCAAATAACTTCCTTGGGTATTTGGTGCATGAGCGTGGTCTGGAGGTTGACAAGAACAAAGCCAGGGCTATGATTGAGGCAAAACCACCACAAAATAAGGAGTTGTAGAGATTTCTTGGCCAAGTTAATTTCTTAAGACATTTCATTTCTAACTTGGCTAGGAAAGCCAGAGTCTTTTCTCCTTTATTGAAACTCAAGTCTGAGGTGGATTTTAAGTGGGAAGAACACCACTAGTCTGCCTTTGATATGATAAAGCGGTACTTATCCAGACCACCAGTACTTGTACTGTATGTGAAAAATAAACCTTTAATTTTGTATATATCCACCGCAGACGCATCCATAGGATGTTTGCTAGCGCAGGAAAATGATAAAAAAAACAAGAGCAGGCTGTGTATTACTTGAGTCGATGTTTGACTCAGATCGAAGTGAAATATTCTTCGGTCGAAAAGTTGTGTCTTGCTCTCTTTTTTGCTACAATAAAATTAAGACATTATTTGATTTGTTCTGAGGTCTATGTGGTTGCTAAGATTGATATTGTCAAATATATGTTGTCTCGCCCTTTGTTAAGAGGCCGAATAGGTAAATGGATTGTGGCCTTATCTGAATTTAATTTGAAGTGTATACCACAGAGGGCTATCAAAGGACAGGCACTGGCAGACTTTCTTGCAGATCATCCATGTCTGGAAGTGGAAGCAGATTAAGAAAAAGGGATTAACTTGTTTTCAATAAGTTTAGTTCCTTGGAAACTTACTTTTGATGGATCTAGTACAGAAACCATGTCTGGAGCTGGAGTCATGGTAATCTCCCCGTCTCGACTAAAAACACAGATATCTTTCCAGCTGGATTTTGATTGCACAAATAATCAAGCAGAATATGAAGTTTTGATTATTGGTCTTGAGATGTTGGTAGAGCTTAAAATATCCATGGTTGAGGTTATAAGGGACTCACAACTAGTCTTGAAACAGTTGTCTGGTGAGTACAAATATACTAGCCTTGCTTTAGCCCCTTATTTTGCCTTGACTGTGCAATTACTAGAGGAGTTTGATGATGTGTCCATCAGACATGTGCCTAGAGACCAAAACTATGAAGCTAATGAAATGGCTCAAATTGCTTCAGGTTTGCAGATTCTTGAAGGTGTAATGCAGAAAGTTGTAATAGTTGAAAAGTGCAATCTGCCATCAATTCATCAACGTGGCATGACAGTTTCTACTTGCAGCATTGATGTTACCTAGACAGACTGGCGCTTTCCAATTATTCAGTACCTTAAGAATTAGAGCACTAAAGTATCTAGAAAAGCCAAAACGCAAGCTCTCAATTATGTCTTGATTGAGGATGTGCTTTATAGTAGAGGCCATGATAAACTACTTCTACGCTGTCTGGGTCCAGATGAAAGTTTCTAGATGTTGTCTAATGTCCATGATGGGATTTGTGGTGCACACCAGGCGGGGATCAAGATGCACTGGCTAATTCGCAGACATGGTTTCTTCTGGCCATCTATCCTGAAAGACTGTATTGCTTATGCTAAAGGCTGCAAATCTTGTCAGATCCATGGGCCACTTCAAAGAGTTCCAACCTCTGAACTTAATTCTATTGTGAAACCGTGGCCATTTCGAGGTTGGGCTATTGACTTGATTGGCAAGGTGTACCCCCCTTCATCAAAAGGTCATTCATTTATTATAGTGACAACGAATTATTTTACCAAATGGGTGGAGGCTAAACCAATGAAAAAGGTAAATCAATCTGATGCAATCAAGTTCATCAAAGAGGACATTATTCACAGGTTTGGTTTGCCAGAAACAATTACAACAGACCAAGGCACAGTTTTTGTCAACCATCAAGTGGCGGCATTTGCAAAGGAAATGGGTTTTCGTCTGTTAAATTCTACTCCTCATTATGCACAAGCTAATGGGCAAGCAGAGGCTTCTAATAAGGTGGTGATTAATTTGCTTAAAAAAATGGTGGATGACAGCCCCAGATGCTAGCATGAACTGTTGTCTAAAACACTGTGGGCTTATAGAACTTCATAAAGGAGTTCAACCAAGATGACACCTTTTGCGTTGACATATGGCCACGATGCAGTCTTGCCAATAGAGTTAACAGTCAGGTCTTTAAGAATAGAGATTCAACATAATCTCCAGTTTGGGGAATATGACGAGTCTATGATGCTTGAGCTTGAGGATCTTAAAGACACACGTTTGGCAGCTTTGGATAGATTGCAACCTCAAAAGCTCAAAATTGCAAAGTCTTACAACAAGAGAGTGAAAGGTAAAAATTTGGCAATTGGTGACTTAGTTTGGAAAGCAATTTTACCTCTTGTCAAGAAGGATCACAGATTTGGGAAGTGGTCCCCAAATTGGGAAGGACCATTTCAAATTCATGAGGTGTTGAAAGGGGGAGCTTATTAGCTAGAGTCACTTGATGGAGAGCTTCATCCCAGAAAAATCAATGGAATTTATCTCAAGCCTTATTATCTCACAGTCTGGGAGGCAAGAGGAATGGAGTCCTAAGAAGCTATCTGAGCCAGGTTCACACTTCTTTTTGTGCATAATTAAATTGGGTTTCTTTCATTTATTTCATTTTGAATGAGAGCAAGTTTGATCAAGCGGCCATGACTGGCTGTGGATAGCTGGATGCACTCAAACAAAGTTAGCTGTGAAAAAGTTGAAAATACTTGCTGCAATTATCTTGGGATTTAGCAGATTCTGCATGTAGCCTTTGGAGTTTGGAGTCTGAAAGGTAATTTGAAATTTAAACACTTGGATTTATTCCCATAAAACCAAGTGTTGGGGGGGCATTGTTTACACCTAAAATAAACCAATGAGAGAAGGCCATGTGTCAAGGTGAAGGCCAATTATCAAGAAAAGTCAGCAGACTGGACTTAGGCTGGGCTGGATTATAATTTAAGGGCCCAAACGGATTTTTAAAGAAGTTGGATTTTAGGTGACAGAAGATAAGATAACTTCTGGTATTTGAGTTTGATTTAAGTTAGGAAGTTGAGAGTTTTTAGGAGAAGGTTATCTTTAAGATTTTGTTGGAGATAAGGTTAAATAAAAATTATCGGATAACTGTCAAACAACTGCCAAACATGCAATCCCACTACTAGATCATGGAGGAACAGTACCGGAAATCATGGAGAAAGTTCCCAGCACTGAAGAAAATAAATACAGAGAGAAGAGAACAGTTTCAGAGGCCTGCCCAACACACATACACTGCCCACAGCATGTTTTTCAGCTTTTAGACTGCATTTTCCAGATTTCAGCAATAGTTTCCAGATTTTCCAGATTAGTTCATAGCCTTAGCCTAGGTTTGTTCATCTTTGTTCATATTTTCTTCTGTAAATTCCAATTTAGATTAATTTTTTAGCATTTGGAAGCAACTTAGCCTTCAAAACAGGTTCGCCCTTTTGATTCGGTTAGTTCTTCTTCCTTTTATGGATTTAGTTATGTTATTTGTTCATGTAAATAGGTTGAACGTTTTCTACCTTTGTTCTTTTGTCTCTGCACAATATCCAGACATTCAGTTTACTTAATTTTAGTTTCCAGTTCTAGACTTCAATTAATTTGTAGTTATTTCTTGTAGTTTTAACAATCAAGTTGTTTAGTTATTGTTATTTTAATTCTGTCAGTAATTAGTTTAATCATTATGGGTTGCGTAGTTGAAATCATTGTCTGTTATTTTACTTTTTCTGTTGTCTGCGAATTTAATCTTTATGGCATGTTATTCCCTGTTATTTACTTCATGTTAGTTTAATTGCCTTAGGATATTGCATTTATTTTAGGATTTGTAGTTTTTATTACACTTGTTTGGTTGTGAAGTCCTTGGAGGTTTCCAAGGCAATTAGTAACCCATTTTGCAGAACTCTACCCTCTGTTTTGCAACATCGTCTGGGGCGCAATTCATTTCACATACGTTCTTTCCAGTCATCCTATTGGAGGTCGACCGTTGGAAAGGAGAAGGGTCGTCTGGAAAATCCAATTTTCTTGTTTTTAAACAAAGCAAGTGGCACACCTAATAACCAAACTCACGTAGTAGAGGTCGGCTAAGGATTTTTGGGAAAATAGTAAGTTTCTCAAATTTCAAGGTTTTCAGTTTCTTAGTGGCTAGGGCTTTGGTTTCTTAATCTACAGTAGTGTATTCAAATGCTTTGATCCTTTTCATTATTTTTGAGACTTAGTGCTGCTATCTTTGTTACTTACTAGATTATTTGCTTCATTTGATTCTTTGGTATGTTTAATTGGTGGAAAATGATGTGTGCACACCCGGATCCAACACCCGGGTGTGCACATATCATATAAAAAAAAAATGCCCATCACCCAGTCCATCTTTTTTTTTTATGTGGGGGGTGCACACCCGGATGTTGGATCCGGGTGTGCACCAATCATTGTCCTTAATTGGTTTGTGACTAAATCCCTAATTCGTTCTTGCTTATACACAGTTTCGAAGTTGAAGTTGTTCAAGTCGCAAAAATCTCCGTTCCCACTCGTTTATTATAGTTACTAGATTTAAACTCATCAAAAAGGAATTTAGGTATATTAATAGCCCTTATATACGAATTCTAGACTTCTTAATTGTGTTTGGGTTGTTTATTGTTAATTAGAGAAACATGTAGTTGATGGTTAGAATTTTGGTATCACTAAAGGCTGTTTTATTTCACTTTTGGGTACAACTATTTAATCTTATTTTTTTGCATTTTGTGAGCTCTGTTAGTTGCTGTTTTTGTGTTATCATCTTGCCCTGTTCTTGCACATGAATTATGCCAAGTTTCATCATGTTTTACTTTGCCTAAAATATGCCATGAACCATGCATTTTTCTGCACTTTTCCTGCACAGTTTTGTGACTCTAATATGCTGATTTTTGCCCCTAGAACTTGAAAGCTACACAGCACGCCGCTATGGAATTTTGATTATTTTCCCCTTTATTGTACATTTGTTTTGGACACTAACTTGTTGTCCATTTTTCCTCATTTGTTACAAAATTCTGCAATGTTTATAGCTTAAAACTTCACCATTTTGGACTGGGTTGCTGTCATTTTTTCTGCTGTAACTAGGAAGAATTTTGGCAACATTTTAAGCTTGGTTCACGTAACTGGGAAGAATTTTG